TATTCCCAAGCCAGACTATCATCTAGGTAGTCTTTAATTTTATAAAAAGCTTTACTATAAAATTTATCTTTAATGGCATTTTTAAATTTATTTAGACTCAGATTTTGGATATGGCTGGGAATTTTATTGTAAAAGCGTATACTCTGACATCTAAACGAACCACTTATTTTCTTTAGTCTAGTAGTGGGAACAACATATTTGTCTTTATTTCTCGTGTTGATATTATGTATATCACTATGCTTTTTAAATAAATTTTTGTTTTTATGAGCATATACTACATTTTCATAAATGTATTGAGAGGCAACGGTCATTATATTAATTTCTTTAAATAGTTCCCTGAGAGAGTACCTCGGACTAAGATTATAAATTGATCGAATGGCCCTCTTCTGCAGAACAAAGATAGATTGAATGTCAGCAGCATTCCCCCATAGGAGAATACCATATGACATGACAGGATAGCGATCGCCTTTAGTTCAGTGACAATTTTGAACATGCTGCTACCCGTCTCTTAGTATCTGATTTTACAGTTTAAGAACATAATAGTAAGAGTTCTACTTCAAGTGTGGGAAAACCATGCTTCGGCACGAATGGGCCGGCTCGCCCGGAGTGATACCACGGCCTCACAGAAAACCGACGTGAAGCAACGCTTGCGTTGTGTTTCGTCGTGTGAGTGAGGTTACCAGAAGCCCAATTACCTTCCCCTTCCCCAATCTCCCCAATCCCTGAATCCCTAACGATCCTCAAACTCCTAATCCCCAAAAAGCCGGTGACGCACTTGTAACGCCTCTGGTGTTCCAGGTGTCCATGGGCGACGCCGATTGCTTACCATCAGGTGATACGTCTGCTAGTTTACTGGCTTATGTAGGCCATAAAAAAAAAACTTAAAAAAAATACATAGGTATGACACATTCAACTAAAATCCAACCTCTGAGCGTCCAATTTAAATAATTTGATCACGGATCACGGTCATACGTCGCTGTGCCGTGCGAAGATAATTCGTCCGAACTCCGAGGTGACGGCTAACAATGGGTAGCCTTGACATTACACGACGTGAACTATTTCATATATAATTGGTATCCACCCAGCTAGACATCAAGCTCAAACAAAACTGGCATATACTGACCGTCGAATATACGGGATGATCATAGATGCGGTAAGATAAGAACGTATATTTATTTAGTAAAACATGAGTAATTACCATGAAGGTGTTTTTTTAGTTAATACAGAGTCTACATGTTTTGCCATTTATGGCGTACTAAATTAATGACTTTAATCAGACAATAATAATATGATCAAGCTTTGGATAGTACAAAATCAATAGTTTGAATAAAAAAATAATATTTATAAAGTAAATAAATAACAATAAAAGATCAAGTCAAAAACCACAAGTCAAACAGTTTAACATGAGAACATACAAAACGAGATAATGATGGCTTTGTATAGCTCCGTGCATCAAATTACCAGTATAAATTGGCCGTCGAATATACGGGAAGATGATACAAAACGAAATCATGATAAGCTGGAAATTCAAGCTTTAGTTTAGCTTGATTCAAGCCGTGTGTTACTGGATTGGACCGCACGATGACCAATATAATACCCCATATTATCGTTTTGAGAACCTAACGGGTTACCGGGGCTCCGGCTCGACGTGCAGGAGAAGGAACGGGGTGGATTTTAGTCAGTAAGAGTCTGATACTCCCTTCCGCCTCACCCAGGCGGGAGCAGTCATTCGATGATTTCCCCCCTTAAAAAAAAATCATCATTTTGAATAGAATAGTTTTAAAGGTGGCTCAAAACGATGAGTATTGCGTTTGCGCTGTACCTGGTCGAATATAAACAGTAGCTACGTGCAACAACTCACCTACAAACGATTCACAATCATGCATGATTATGTCAAATTGTTGTCGTGTGACATCATTTAGAGTAGTGATTTCCACGTACTAGCGTATTATCGATTCCTCAGTATAATGACTGTGTTATTGTTTCATCAGAATCTAAAAATAGATGTTAGGAAAATTGGACCAAAATAAAACATTCATGTTAGATGCTAACTATGTTCGAGTTTGATAATATTGCTGATTACGATAGATTAGATAGATAGATTAGAACCAGCACCAGTAAATAGTTTTTGAAAATAAATACATCCATATCCGGATCCAAATACACAAATTGTGAGCTAATTGTGGAAGAGCCATGCTTCGGCACGAATGGGCCGTTTCGACCGGAGTGATACCACAGCCTCACATAAAACCGACGTGAAACAACGCTTTTTTTTAGGGGGGAAATCATCGAATGACAGCTCCCGCCTGGGTGAGGCGGGAGGGAGTGTCAGACTCTTGCTGACTAAAAACCACCCCGTTCCTTCTCCTGCACGTCGAGCCGGAGCCCCGGTTACCCATTAGGTTCTCCGCGACGTGAAACAAAGCTTGCGTTGCGGCCCAATTACAACAATGTACCCAATCCCCGAATCCTCAACCATCCTCAAACTCCTAATCCCCAAAAGGCCGGTAACGCACTTGTAACGCCTCTGGTGTTCCAGGTGTCCATGGGCGACGCTGATTGCTTACCATCAGGTGATCCGTCTGTTCGTGTACCGGCTTATTCCATAAAAAAAATACGTCCCATATAAGTGTGTTTTCCGTTATCTCTCTGCGCTGGCTAGTAGTAGCCTAGAGCTACTAACTACGGTTTAACATGGCCTGAAGCCTCTTGTTTAGTAGTTTTACATGCCAATTTGACCAAGGAGGCAATTTATATTCGTAGTTTTTAAATGTAATCAACAAAAATAACATAAAAAAACCTATTTTTAAAAATACCAAGGTATCTTATTTGTTTTTATTTCTTTGTTCCAGGCAAATATGTGCCTCGTGCAGTGTTGGTGGATTTGGAGCCTGGCACAATGGACTCCGTGAGGTCTGGCCCTTACGGTCAGCTGTTCAGACCAGACAACTTCGTGTTTGGCCAAAGCGGTGCCGGTAAGTAAACGCCATCTAGTGATGAATAGCTGTACTCGTTTTGTACAAAATTGATGTTATAAGACTAATGAAAGACTGTATCTGAAGTTGTTAGTGTTATGTTAATAAAATATTGTCTAACCTACAAGTTCTAATATTAACGTGTAAACAATGTAGGAAACCTCATCAAATCTTAAGTAAGATCCAAGTACTGCCATCTAGCGTCGAGTAGCCGAACTAAATAACAATATTTAGATTGTTCTGATGATTGTAATAAATTATTTTTATTTATGCATCTTCCTCTATAATCTAATCTTTTTAGAACAGATTTCGATGAAGTAATTTTAATGCATTTTATTTTATCTTAAACTTATCTAGTAGGTAGATTAATTTCAATAATCATTAAGTATTTATGATAAATATTATACCTACCTCTTATTTTAATTCAAAATGATATTTTTATGAAACGATAATACTAATACACTAGTTGTTTTTCAGTCTAACTAAGTCTGACTGCCTTATTGTCCGAGTGGTCGCAAGTGCGACTGCCGGGCAAGGGGTCTCGGGTTCGATTCCCGGGTCGGCCATAAAAATATTACATTCACATCTATATATATAAAAGAAAGTCGTGTTAGTTACACTACTTATAACTCTAGAACAGCAGAATAGATTTGGTTGAAAATTGGTAGGGAGGTAGCTTATAGCCAGGAGACCGACATAGGATACTTTTTACCCAATACTTTTTTTTACTTTTTATCGAAAATCACGAACGGGGACGGGAAAAGATGGGATTACGCGTACGAAGTCGCGGGCAAAAGCTAGTTTATAATAGTTGCGTATTTTATCCTCAGGTAACAACTGGGCCAAGGGTCATTATACAGAGGGCGCTGAGTTAGTCGATGCTGTCATGGATGTCATTCGCAAAGAGGCCGAAGGCTGTGATTGTTTACAAGGTAATTGTAACTCTATTATGTAGATCGTAAGATTTAATTTTAAATATGCTTCGTCATGTATTTTATCAATGTAATTTTTATTAAAACTGCCTTGTTGACCGCAGTGGTCGCAAGTGCGATTGTCGGTCGTCTCGGGTTCGATTCCCGGGTTGGGCAAAGTACCTAGTTACTGGGCCTAACTTTTTAAGATGTAATATTTATTCTGTTACTTGAGCTGATTGGGAACTGACACATGCGTGCTGCCATCAGAACAGCAGCTGTAGCCAAATGCCATTTAGCGCTTGTCTACATGTAGAATAGAAAACCAAATTACATGGAATTAAAGTAAAATTTTTACACTTGTCAGTGTCATACATTTAGTTTTCTACTCTCTCTAGACAAGAAGACATAACCTAACGGGTAACCGGGGCTCCGGCTCGACGTGCAGGAGAAGGAACGGGGTGGTTTTTAGTCAGTAAGAGTCTGACACTCCCTCCCACCTCACTCAGGCGGAAACAGTCATTCGATGATTAACCGCCCTTAAAAAAAAGAAAAGAAGACAAGCGCTAAAGTGGCGTTTGGCTAAAGGCTCAGGCCCGCTCAAACTGTTATGGATCTTTCATCAAAAGACCGCTACAGAATCAACTTGCACGGTTCACGCACACTATATAATCTGTCTGGATTTTAAAACAGACAATAACCTCTGAGTTTGTTTCGGCGTTTCTTTTCAGAATAGTCAGTTAGGAAATGCCGGCCCTCATCTAGTTAAAGATTGACGTGTGAAACCTATTTGCAGAAATAAATATCATTTCATTAATTACGATTTCAGGATTCCAGCTGACCCACTCCTTGGGTGGAGGCACAGGATCTGGCATGGGTACTCTGTTACTCAGTAAGATCCGCGAAGAGTTCCCTGATAGGATCATGAACACCTTCAGCGTTGTACCATCCCCTAAGGTAAGTTGTTTAACTAGGAATCAAACTTGGGTTAAAATCGTTATTCCTTATTAGTCAAGTCATCCTAAATAGCAATCAGTCTAAGATTCGACTCCTGGGTCTGAAATAATAATACTTGGGTCTAGATTCTTTATTTATTTAAATACTAGCTTCTGTCAGCGGCTTCGTAGTCCCAGTCGTCAAAAATAGCCTATGTGTTACTCCAGACCATATTGTACCTCTGTTCGTTTCGTCCCGGTCCCTTCAGCCTTTTTGATGTGACTGAGTAACAAACACACACAGACTAATATTTTCACATTTATAATATCGATTCAATCTAATTTCAACCATCGCCTCTACAATAACAGCGTAAAGTTCACTGCGGGCAACCAAACATTCGACAAACTTAAACTTGCGTTTGGTACATTAACTATTGTCTAGGCATTAAGCCGCACACGTTTGTTTTTTAGGATATAAAATTTAATCCTACAAAGTTTCATTGTGAATGGACCGGTAGTTTTTGCGTGACGCGTGAACACAACCAGAAAGACTGACAAAATTGTTTTTAATCGTATTTTTGGGTTCGGTGTCTATTTAGTAACACCCCCAACTATTTATTTTTTTAATATTTTTAATGTATAGAATTTACACATTTACAGTTTTATTAATGTATAGATACTAAACTAAAGTTCCCTATGATCGGAAAAGGTGTAACCCCCGATCAGGCGAGGTGAAATCGTTTCTATCCATTTATATTCGTTTAAACTTGTCGTCGATCGTCTATGTGCGTGATCTGACTTCTGGTCTTCTATCATTTGTCGACACACACTTAACATTACTTTCTTCCCACAGGTAAGCGAGGTAGTCCTAGAACCCTACAACGCGACGCTCTCAGTGCACCAGCTGGTAGAAAACACAGACATGTCATTCTGTATCGACAACGAAGCTCTCTACAACATCTGCTTCAGAACTCTACGACTTGCCAGCCCTAGCTACGGGGATTTGAATCATTTGATTTCGGTGAGTATTTTTCATTTTGTTATTATTCAAATTTGCTAGAAGAATATAATTATAATATTTCCAGAATTTTATAGTATAATCTATCTGTTCCAAAATACACCCAAACTCATTTAGTACCTAACCCATGAAAACTTTTAAAGCGATGTAAGAATATGCTAGTCGACACTAGAATTGTATCAAGCGCCATCTATTAGTTGGTTCCTTAAACTAAGTGTTGTCAAAATAATTGAAAACATATTGTGACCTTTCCTTAAACCAAGCAATTAGAGACTAATGATGATGATTTTAATGACAGTTTTGATCAATATGATGATGATGATGTGTGTAATTGAATTAAACTGTAAATGATGATAATAGATAATATTGCCATATCGGAACTTGGCATACATACGAAATAAACGTGCAATGTTTTACAATGGCAGCCATATTTAGCGTGATAGTTGTCAGTAGTTATGCACGCTTATTTTACGATATATAACTTTTATATATTATATAACTTATATTATTATATATATAGATATAATTTTGGGGCGAGTCTTTAACTCGTATGTATCTTTACAGCTCACAATGTCAGGAGTGACAACTTGTCTCCGTTTCCCCGGACAATTGAACGCCGACTTAAGAAAACTGGCCGTCAATATGGTACCATTCCCTAGGCTGCATTTCTTCATGCCTGGTAAGCCTCTACCTACTTAAACTATTCTATGTTTCATTTTTTTTAGAGAGTACCTTAAGATGGAGTTTCTTGCTCGTCCTTGTACATTCGAAACTACTTCTTAAGAACGAGCTAGGTGTTCGTTCTAAAGTGTAGCTTTACTAACAATTCAATTTGTTTAAAAGTCCTATATGTATATCCAAGGATTAATTGAAGTAAATGCTTTGACTTTTCGTTGAATTGGTGAATAAATAAGTATTCGTTCAAAACGTTTGTCGTATACACGGCATTTTAGCTGAGCACTGGCCTTTTTGCACAGTGTGTCTACATTGTTCCGAGATTTTAAACTATTTTTCTCGTTTCTTTAATTCCTGTAACGTAACGGTGCAGTTTTTTTAAACTGCTTTTCTTTTTTCATTAGTAAATCAGCACAAGCAAACTTCAACCGTATCGCCTCAACAATAATATTTAAATACTTACAGGGTTCATTTAAATTCGTGGTGATATTTTTAATGGTGTACATATTTGCAAATATTAAGTACAGATATGCAAATAGACTACCTCGTTGGCCGGTCTCGGGTTCGATTCCAGGGTCGGGCAAAGTTTACTGGGTTTTAAAAAAATCTCTGTATTAGGACGGAGTCTGGAATTGTGCCCGGTATATGTCAATGCAATAGGCTCACCCTATTATATTTCTGTAAACAATCTTTTTTTTTTGCATTGCAGGTTTTGCTCCTCTCACAGCTAGGAATTCGTTCAACTTCCGTGCACAGACTGTTCCTGAACTGATGAGTCAGGTAAGCATAGATGAGCATACCTTCTACATTTATCCGTTTCCATCCAAACATTAATTACTAAATAAACAAATACAAAACTAAACTTAATATTATGATACGCATTACTGAATGCCCTAACCGCTAGATGGCGTTAACAACCCAATTAGTCAGTGTCTCTAACCACTAGATGTCGTTAACCTCGTATATATTATCACCAGATGTTCAACTCCTCGAACATGATGACGGCGACCGACCCGCGCCACGGCCGATACCTCACTGTAGCTACTATATTCAGAGGCAGAATGTCCATGAAGGAAGTTGACGAACAGATATTGTCTATACAGAACAAGAATTCTAGGTAAGACATGTCTTTTTATTGTTTAAGTTCGCTTATAATCACTTAAACGTCAGTATTTGGTTACTGTAAAATAGAATACATGTGTCACAAAGTCTGCTCTTAGCGCGGTTGTTGAGCCCACTTAATGCCTTGTTCGCACTATGTTAGTATTATTCTTATATCCTTTTTTTTTCGGTAAACGAACAGACGGATCACCTGATGGTAAGCAATCGGCGTCGCGCATGGACACCTGGAACACCAAAAGCGTTACAAGTGCGTTACCGGATTTTTAGGGATTAGGAGTTTGAGGATTGTTGAGGATTCAGGAATTGGGGAGATTAGGGACGGGGAGGGTAATTGGGCCTCCGGTAACCTCACTCACACGACGAAACAACGCAAGCGTTGCTTCACGTCGGTTTTCTGCTCGGCCGTGGTATCACTCCGGTCGAGCCGGCACATTCGTGTCGAAGCATGGCTTTCCCATACTTAACACTTTTCGCTTCTGTCTCAAAATTGAGGCGAGAGAGAGTTACTAAATTCTCGCTACTAAATTAAAATACTAGCATAGTGCGAACAAGGCATAAGGGAATATATCATTGACAAAAAAGAAGCAGCACTCTCTAGTAAGCCAGAGTGCCAAGTAGGAATTTTGTTGGTTCACTGGAGCCGGCCAATCAGAGCGCAAAACGCGATCGATTATATTACGTTACGAATGCAACGGTTATTTGTGCTTGGCACTCTGAACCTTTTGGACTACAATCTCTAACCTCTTGCCAAGTGAGAAGATCGTGGAAAACCGCTATTTTTTATAGGAGGCTCATAGTTCAGTAGTAATGTTACATTTTAATAATCAAAGTGATAGACTAAAGTGCACAAGTGTCTTAGGGCCCTCGCCCACGATGCATGTCGCACGTCCGCATCGATACAGTCGCGACGTGCATACAAAAATTACGATCACGTTAGTAATGATGCTGTCGTACTTTTAGTGAACGCGTTTACAATATCGCTACAAAATGTCGCCGTGGGCGAGGGCTCGAAGTCAAAACTCTTACTTGCTGACAGTTCTGAGTTTAGACTATTTTATGGAAGCACTATGCACTGCTATTAGAGGATTCAATCCCGGCCCATTTTTCCAGTCCCGGGATTTCGGGATTATCTAAAGTCAATCCCGGGATCCCGGGACAGTCCCGGGATAGAAAGAAGTAACAGAAAGACAGTAATTTATATATCAAAATCAACTATTAATCATCAGTTCAATCTACAAAAAACGAAACAAAAATAATATTTTCTTCTAATAAAATAATAAACAAACAAACAAGGAACTTCTTTACTTAGTGTAATAGTTTGTTTATTTTGATTCACATAAAATCTTTAAAAAATCAACTTCTAAACACTTGTTTAGATAAAAATTAAAAATGACTTAATTCTAAAGAGATCAGTAATACAAGGTAATTTATAAATTATTTCTTTCAACTTCGAAAATAATATCGAAGAAATAGTAAAGCATCCAACGACTCATCAGAAAGCTTGCTTCTTAATTTGTTGCACAAATATGAAGAGGCAGAAAAAGCGCGCTCAGGCTCAATGGAAGTTGGAGGAATCGTCAATAATTTTTTATAAGTCTTCTCCAAATTATAACCTTGTGTGGAACTAGCTTCATAAAGATTCATTTCTTGTTTAATGATCTCAAAAAGATCCGTTAGCAATTACAAATGGAATCAGATGTGTAAACAAGATGGCTGTTAAAACTTCTAACGTGCGTTTCGCTTCGTTTCATGCATATTTTTATTCTACATCACAAAAATGAATCTCAAAATGCATTGGTAAGAGCATAAATTCCAATCCCGAAAATCCCGGGATACTTAAAAAATAATCCCCGAAAATTACGGGACCGAAATTTGATCGGGATCCCGGGATCCCGGGCTTCGGGATCCCGGGATCGAATCCTCTAACTGCTATTTAGAACAGATGTAGTCTTATACGTTTGTGACTTATATACAAACATTTCACATCGACAAGCGCCAAGTGTACCTTCATATATTATGTTATTTCTTTACAGCTACTTCGTAGAATGGATCCCCAACAACTTGAAGGTCGCTGTGTGTGACATTCCCCCTCGAGGACTGAAGATGTCTGCCACGTTCATGGGCAACAGTACTGCTATACAGGAGATCTTCAAACGCATCTCTGAGCAATTCACTGCCATGTTCCGACGAAAGGTAAGCAGGACAAAGCGATTAAAGATTTTAGAAGGTAAACGAGCAGGCGGATAGCCTGATGGTAAGCAATTAGAGCTGACTGTGCATACCCACGACACTGGATGAGTTACAAGTGCATTCCCCGTTTTAGATGAGATTTTTTTTGAGGGTCCAAAATCATCCTATTACTTCCCCCTCCCGGGTGAGGCGAGAGGACTCTCACTGACTAAAAACCTCCTCCGCGGCTCCGTATCGACCTCAGCCCTGTTGGGCCCCATCCGTGGTGGTCTGATGGCTCTTTGAGGCGCGCGCGGAACGCTACGCACTGCACGCTGGTCTGGTTCTGGTCGGGCGACGAGCTACCCATGCACGCCATCCGCAGGCCCATGTTAAAGTGTTACGAGATGAAAACCCAGTTGTGAAATCCTTTATTGTAACTTTTTAACTCATTTTTTTAGTTTTACATGGCGAATTCAACCAAGTATTAAAATACTCTGACTCGCGCCCGAAGGATTCTAATAAAAATGGCAAAAAAAATTGTTTTTCTATGGGAGTTCGCACTAAAATATATATTTTTCTAGCTTTTACCCGTTACTTCGCTCGCGTCACATAAGGATAAAAAGTAGCCTATGTGACATATACCAATACACACAGCGCCATCTATACCAATACTTTTGTTTTCCCTCAGGAATATCAAATTTTTCCGGGATAAAAAGTACCCTATTATTTAATCCAGACTTCTAACTTTACGTCTGCAAAAATTCAAAGCAATCGCTTTAGTAGTTACGGCGTGAAAGCGGCACAAACAAACAAACTCACTTTCCAATTTATAATATTTTAAGGATTCTGATTTTAGTATATTTTTACGTCTAAGAGAGACCAAAGTATATATTTTGATCATGGATTTTTCGACATACATAGGTGAATAATCTATCTACAATTATTTCCTTCCAGGCTTTCCTCCACTGGTACACAGGCGAGGGTATGGATGAGATGGAGTTCACTGAGGCAGCTAGCAACATGGCGGATCTTATCTCTGAGTATCAGCAGTACCAGGTAACTATCAGTACTATTTAGTTTTTTCAAATCTACATAGTATAGAACAGTCGCTTTGTGTTGTTTTATGTTGTTTACATATTTAAACTACGCAACGGCTTGCTACGGGTGATGAAATAAAATAAATGTCGTGGTGGCTAGGAGGTTTAAGACCTTTAAGAAATTATAAGCCCAAGTTTACTCACGATGTTTTCCTTCACCGTTTGTCAGTGGTGTCTAGATCTTAGAAAGTACATATAACTCGGAAAAAGTCGGATTGGTACTTGCCGTTGGTAGGTTTCGAACCCACACCCTCATGCATGAGAAGCGGTCTTAAACCTCCCGGCCACCTCGAATCGCAATGTCACCATTAATATTATTTCAATATGACGAATTTGCCCTTTTGACATGATATTTACCCTTCAAGACTTTACACGGCATATATGCATCGCTAGCGAAAGAATTGCCTTCAACACTTGTCTACTGACAGTCAATTCTCAATTACAATTTTCTTTCTAGGAGGCTAATGTTGATGACGAAGATATCTTCGACGAAGAAGAGGAACAACAAGAGGAATATCAAGCTGAACCGAGAGAAGTCAGCAACACAATGGCCATGATATAAGATCCAACGTAGTTGTAACTCCTCTAGTATTCCGTGAGCGACGCTGATTGCTTACCATCAGGTGATCCGTTCTGCTCGTTAGCAGGTTTATACCGTTATAACATTTGTGTCTGCTTTTCTATTAAGTAATAGCCTGGATACATTCCCTATACAAAGTTAAACTTTAGCTGTTTTCGCCAACCCTATACATCTCTTAACTAAGAGTTACTTAGCGTGTTTAGGTAATAACCACTACTTAGATGTTGTGGAAACCAAAAGTCGTTAAGTGTATTTTGACTTAACGGTTCCTTGAAATGTTAGAGAGGTTGGTGGAAACGGTAATAGTACCAGATTTAAATACAATGAAAGAGTAATTTTTTACATTTATTGTTATTAAATATTCCTATTTTTTTGAAGATATATAATTTGAAATCAAGTCTTTTCATTACTTACTCCTTTTTTATTTATTATTTTGATTTCGTTTTGGTTATTTACAGTTTAAATAAAGATTTTTTGTACTTTAAGATTAATTTTTAGAGTTTTTAATTATTAAAGCATTTAATTATTTAGATAAACCGTCTAAAGTGTATTGACGTCAAAAGTGTGACGTTATGTTTTGTACGTGTGTCTAGATTCAATCAATTCTTTCCTAATCTTTGTAACTAAGAAAATAATCACGAAAGTAATTTAACGTATCAAATCGTCAATTATGTATGGTTAAAATTAATTAGAAGCGCTATTTTTGCCAAAGTTGTAGCCAAATAACTGTTTTATTGGATTAGCAACGGTTGTTTTAGAGGCAGTTAATTTTCGAAGCTGCTATTTTATAATTTAAATAAATAGAAGTGTCATTCTTTAAATTGGGTATTTTCCATAATAAAAACAATTAAATATTGAAGAAAAGTTTTTATTACTTAGTTTGACTACATAATAATTTATTTTCATATTACTAGCATATTTTTCAAATGAGTTTATTTAATATAAAACGACGATTATCAATCACAATTTCGCAAAGGAAACGTTGGAAAATACCCTATTACAAGTTTTTATGCAGTGTGACTTTGATATAACTAAATACTTGGGAGTATTTTCGGGGGATAAAATAGAACCAATTATTCCACACTATCATCTGTCTCTGCGCCAAATATCATCTAGATCCGTTTAGTAATGTGAAAGCTTAACAAACATACATTCAAATGAATCCACAATTATACTTAGTATTATAAATGTGAGTGTTTTTTTTGTATGTCTTTCACGTCGCAACGGAGCATTTTTATGATGTAATTTTTGTGTCTAGAGATAGAATACTGGAGAGTATAATATAGCTTCCTTTTATCCTTTGAACTCGCGGGAAAAACTTACTCTTGGAAGCAAAGAAACGAAAGCCACTAGCATTTTTTTTAACCCATAACATTAATAAGAATATTCCTCTAACAATAAAATGCTTCTATTTTAAAGGTAACTAAATTGCCTTTTATACGACATACTTTACCAATTATGAAAATACTTGTATCAGAATATTTTTATCAAGAAATTAAAAAGTAAATACGGTATTGTCTCAGCTTCTTTGCTCCAAGTGTAGTTTGAAATAATATTTGTATATGTTAATAGTTATATCAAAAGTTGCACTGTATAATGTGAATTTTCGTTATTATTATATTATTTTTGTTATAATTATTTGTATTTATCTAGATGTAATTATAAGGCTAACGTTTGTTGCTGTGAGCATTTAGAGTTTAACAACATGAATGTTACATTTTATGGTTTTCTAAATAAAAATAAATATTGTTTCGTAATTTCTTGTGTTTTATTCTATTGCCATTATCTCCAGCCTGCCTATCAAGCGTGACGATGGTGACAAACTTCTCTTTTGTAGAAGGTCCGTTAAGCTCAACATGGATTAGCGTAGATCTGCGATGACGATAATGATGCTACTTTTTTTAAACAAAACCATTTGTCTCACTAGGATTTTCTCCTGTTTCTTGGGTGCGTTTACAAACACACAAGTGCACATACACATCACACACAGACAATTTGTGGATCATACAAAGAGTTGCTCCGTGTGGGAATCGAACCCACGACACGTTGCGCGGCAGCCGGTTGCCCAGCGACCGCACCGAGCCCGCTCCCCAACCGTGCCGTGCCGCAAATTTTTACTTTCCTTTTAGACCCATTACGATTTTCTGTGACACGAAAGCGTTTACTAATGTGTGTTACAGCCTGGCAAAAAGAGTTTGTAATAATAGAGGTCGCTAGTATCGTACTCGTGGCAACCTGGTACACTACGACTCAATCAGTTTTGATATTTCTATCGAGTTTAAAAAGAGGAGGTACTATATGTTGAGATGATTGTTGTTCATGTGATATGGTCCGAAGTGAGTGATTCCGTCCAACTTAATATTAGATATAGCTGTCACCTCGTCACTCTTTTTTGACAAGCTGTACGTGATTAAACTGTAAAACATAATTCATTACTTAATCATTATTAAATGAATTATTAGACATTTATTACAAGAGTTACAACTAAAATATAATATACAGATCTAGCTAAACCCGAGCTTTCTATGGGATCATCTAACAGATGGCGCTAGAAATTCAATAAGAATTTATAAAAAAATGTCGACACTTTCATTTTTTTATGTTATTTATTAAATGACTTTGAATGCATCAAACTATATAAAACCAGTATAAACTGACTATTAACTCGTCTTACTTGAAAAAAACCATATAAAAGAATTAAAATAAAATAAAAATTCTTGTTCATAATCAGTTTTTATTTGCCCACATCATCATAATAAGACCATGCAATATTTTGGTTGGGACCACGTTTCGAATCAAACGGGAACTTGTTTGAAATTTTATTTTGAGGCGGTTTCCTTGCGAAGTATCGCTGTAAAACTCTTAACATTTGATTGAGAACTACTTCTGCCTCTTCCTCCTGCAAATATAAATAAGAGAAAGGTGGAAGAAATAAGAAACAATTATTATTTATACCATAGGTATAGTGCGCCATGCTACGGTACGACGAATGGGCCGGTTCGACCGGAGTGATACCACGGCCGAACAGAAAACCGACGTGAAACATGGTTTGCGTTGTGTTTCGTTTTGTGAGTGAGGTTACTCCTTCCCAGTATCCCCAAGACTCACCCAGAATCCTCGAATTTTTAATTCCCAAAAGGCTGGTAACGCACTTGTAAGGCCCTTGGTGTTCCAGGTGTCCATGGGCGACTCTGATTGCTTACCATCAGCTGATCCATCTGCTCGTTTAGCGGCTTATCCCATAAAAAAGGTATTTGACAACCAGCACGATGGCTCAACTACGTTTAAGAACCCGATTTAACCCCTTTTTTTGAAGTCGGTTAATTTATATATTGAAGTCTTCTTGTGTTTAGGTACTTATGTAAGTAAGTATACTAAAACCCATAACAAAATACAACTTACGTAATGGTCACAGGTATAATAAGAAAGAAATAAAAAGCATTTATTGGACAGAAGGCACGCACACAGATACAAAAGAATTAAAAAAATATAAAATTACAAAAGAAAGGTAAAAAGAAATACCGATAACATAACATGACAACATCACGCCTTTTATCCCCGAATAGGTAGGCAGAGGTGCACATTTACGGAACTTAATGCCACTGTACAATGTAACACCCACTTTTCACTATTTATGTTATGAGTCCCATGTAATAGGGGGTGAGTCTATTGCCATATACCGGGCACAATTCCAGACTCCATGCTGCTACTGAGATTTTTTTCGAAAAAACCCAGTAATACTTTGCCCGACCCGGGGATCGAACCCGAGACCTTGCCCGGCACTCACACTTGCGACCACTCGGCCAACGAGGCAGTCTATTTGCATATCTGTAAATGAACCACTCGGCTAATGGGGCAGTCTTAATAGACATCTAACATTATTAACCTGTTTACAATTTTATTATGGACGAGATACCCAATGTGATACCCGGGATATTAAAGTTTAAGTATACTCATTCCAATTTCTATTGTAATTTCATTTCTAAATCTAAATAGCTGACCTCAGCTCACTAGCTGACCCGGCGAACTTCATCCCGCCTAATTTTTTTCTCAGGTTTTAAACCTTCCCTGGACTCCCACGAACATTTCAATACCAAAATTACCCAAATCGGTTCAGCCGTTCTTGAGATTTAGCGAGACTAACGAACGGAAATTGATTTTTATTTATATAGATAGATAGATATTTTTTCTGTATATAGGTACATAACTTCACGCCTGTCCCCCATTGGGGTATGCAGAGACTATGGAACGCCAATTACTACGATTCGTACCTCTTTCGCTTCATCAACAGTCATCAATATTTTCATGCTTAGGCACTCGTAAGTTCATTTTAACGGAAATTCATTTTTATTTACATAGATTTACCTCTTCATTTTTAGAATTGGAGAATGGTTTTATACTTTCTTTGTTATTATCCAGTGGCTCTGGAGAATTATTTGGTTTTTCCGCTTTTATATATGGGAGTACTGGTTCAGGGTCAACTTCAGAACTTCTATCAAAGTACTTATTCATCCAGTATACATTTTCACTTAGAACGGCGTCGTAGTTTAACACGATAACAAATGTATCTGAAAGGTGGAAGAAGGAAGAGAAAGAAACAATTATTTATTTCATTGGTATCTGGTGTCGTGATACATATTTGAACATCATGCCATCTCTGTTATTTTACGAATAATTTCAGAACTACTTAAGGACGATTTAAAATTGAGTAACATTTTAATATTTGGGCACTAAGTGTCGTGGTGGCCCGGAGGTTTAAGGCGCCCGCTTCTCATGCATGAGGGTGCGGGTTCCAAACCTACCAACCAATGTGATTTTTCCAAGTTATATGCACTTTCTAAGATTATTCAGACACCATTGACAAACGGTGACGGAAAACATCATGAGGAAACCTGGGCTTATAATTTCTAATTATAAGTCTGTAATCGCCAACCCGCATTGAGCAAGCGTGGTAATTAATGTTCTAACCTTCTCTGTATGAGAAGAGGCTTTGCTCAGCAGTGGGCATTTATAGGCTGTTGGTTGATTGGCATCTGGTACCCGCCCCAATGGACCGGACTAATGATAAACTACGCTTAAAAAAGCCAACTTCAACCTCCTCTGCTGCTCCTTAGTGGTTACAAATATCCTTCCTGATAACCGCATCAAAATCGGTACAACCAATCGCCAGATAATCGCAGAAAACATTTATATATACCGATCAAACTGACAACCTCGTTCTTCATTGATGTCAGTCAGTACTTACACTTAAACCTGCTCCTAATTGTATCAAACAACCTTTAGACAACCGCATCAAAATCAAGTGTGGGAGAGCCATGCTTCAGCACAAATGGGCCGGCTCGACCGGAGTGATACCAAACCGAGTAGAAAACTGACGTGAAGCAACGCTTGCGTTGTGTTTCGTCGTGTGAGTGAGGTTACCGGAGGCCCAATTACCCTCCCCTTCCCCAATTCCTCTCCCCTAAACTCCCCAATTCCTGAATCCCCAACGATCCCCAAACTCGTAATTCCCAAAAGGCCGGTAACGCACTTGTAACGCCCTTGGTGTTCCAGGTGTCCATGGGCGACGCCGATTGCTTACCATCAGGTGATCCGTCTGCTCGTTTACCGGCTTATGCCATAAAAAAAAGAAAAACATACAGCCACAGAAATATTAAGGGCTCGTACACAAAACTGTGACGCGACGTCGCATCGTAAAATTGTGCGAGTGTCCGTCTACGCATCATAATCTTCCCTTATCTTTCCAAAATCTTCTTTGTTTCTTTTTCCTGTATCTCCTAAGCAATAGCAGAAGTGCACACTTATTTTTACGATCCATGTCATGATCTAGTTTTCAATTTAAAATACGTTTAGTACGGTTGACGGTCGTCGAAGGAATGGTCACCCTGGGAGACGCCTTGTCGCACGAAATCGCATCGCAGCAATTTGTGTCTTAATTTTTTGCGTTGCGAATTTGCATCGCATCGCAGTTTTGTATTGAATTACATCTATGATTACAACTAGGCTGACTGCATAGGTGCGGTGGCTGGGCAACTGGGTTCCGCGCAACGTGTCGTGGATTCGATTCCCGCACGGAACAACTCTTTGTGTGATCCACAGATTGTTGTTTCGGATCTGTGTGTCATGTGTATGTGAACTTGTATGTTTGTAAACGTACACACGATACAGAAGAAAATCCTAGTGTGGGGCAACGCTATTTTTAATGAAGTCGGGTAAAAATAAAATTTGCTATTCCGTAACTGTCAATTCGAACTTTCAAAGTAAACTCGATTATTCTCACGACCAATGACACGGCGGACCGCGGTCGAGTTCATATCGATTTCCCAAATTGAAAGTTAAAGAATAATCAAGCAGGTCGAACAGAATCGAAGTCGAAATCACGGTCCAGTTGACAGTCCACTACTGAACTATCTCAACATAAGATAATTGGGCAGTTTCCAGGGTATCAACATTAAAAATCTAATTAGACCGTCAGTTAGATAAATTCATCCAAAATTATTTTATCACCTTCAAAGTATGCTCCTTTAGAAACGATACAATTGCGCCAACGAATAATCCATTCATCAAACATTTTTAAACGCTGCTTTCGGAATTGAGTTTAGTTTTCGCCGCGAATTCTCCTTTATGTCTTCTATCGATTGAAAACGGGTGCCACGAAGTGGTAATTTGAATTTAGGAAAAAGAAAAAACTCAACAGGAGCCATGTCTGGTGAATATGGTGGTGGCTGGATGGTATTTGTTGAGTGTTTGATCAAAAATTCGTTCACAATGATGATGATGAATGAAGGCGCATTGTCGTAGTGCAAAATCCAAGAATTTTCTTTCCACAAATCTGGCAATTTTCGTCGATTTTGCTCTCTTAAACGCCGCATAACGCTTAAATAATATTCTTTATTTACTGTTAGACCTTCGGGTAAGAATTCAGAGTGCACAACACCGCGATAGTCAAAGAAAACAGTCAACATGACTTTGCCTTTTGATCGACTTTGGCGTGTTTTTTTCGGTTTCGGTTCAGTTGGAAGACGCCACTCCGAAGCTTGTTGACTAGTTTGCATGTCAAACTCGTAAACCCACGTCTCATCACTAGTCACAACACTAAAACGAGTCAGGTCGGACCCATTCATGAAATCATGAATGGGTCCGACCTGACTCGTTTTAGCGTTCGTGATTCGCTCTAGCATGTCCTCAGCCACTTTCATGCGATTGAGTTTTTGGAGAAAATTCAGATCTTTTGGGACTAGCCGAGCAGTAACATGTTTCATACCCAAATGATTAGTTAAAATGGTACGGATCGAATCTCTCAGAGTTGAATAGGGATTTTCAGTCCTTTTCTTCACTTTGCGATGTTAACTTCAGTTGCAGACGTTGACGGCCTACCAGAGCGAGGCAAATCTTCCATCACATCTCGACCGGTTTTGAACGCTTTGAACCACTCATAAGCACGAGTTTTTGATAAAGTCGATTCACTGTAAGCCTTCTGTACCTAACATTTTTAGTGACTCCGAACACGAAATTCCATTGGCGATGCAGAATTTAAGACAAACTCTTTGTTCGATATCTTTGTCCATTATGAAATTCGCAATACACACATTACACACTATATATGATATTACTAAAACCAGCACTATCTATACTAATATTATAAAGAGGAAAGATTTGTGCCTATTTTTGTATGTTTGTAATGAATAGGCTCAAGAAGTACTGGGCCGATTTCAAAAATTCTTTCACCAATAGAATGCTACATTCTTCCAATTCGACAGAGGCTACATTTCATTTTGAAAAAAACAAAACATTTTCTACCCCGTGCGAAGCCGGGACGGGCTGCTAGTATTTAATATAAATAACAGATGCAACTCAAACTCCGCGCCAAAATGGAAAAAAGTTGTGCAATCTAACAACTACAAAAAAAAATTGAATTTGGAACCATAAACAAATCATCCATTCTTGTTCCTTTTTTAACTAAATGTGCTTATTCTACTCTGCTTTCATCATCAAGGGCATTTTCTTTTTATACTCAACTAGGTACTTCCGCGCGGTTTCGCCCCCTCTGCTCGACGCCTAGTGATCGTAGCGTGATGTTTTATAGCTTGCTAAATAAAGCTCGCTTGATAAAATAACTATTTAAGTCCAACACAAAATGATTATTCAAATTGGACCAGTAGTGCTTAAGATTACGGGTGACTCGCCGCCCGACCAGACTCAAGGAGCCATCAGACCACCACAGATCGGGCCCAACAGGGCTGATGCCGATACGGAGCCGCGTAAGACTTAACGGGTTGCAGGGGCTCTGGTTTGAAGTGCAGGAGTAGGAACGGGGTGGTATAGTCAGTAAGAGTCTGACACTCCTTCTCGCCTCACCCAGGCGGGAGAAGCCATTGGATGATTTCGCCCCCTCAAAAAAAAAAGTGCTTGACTTTAGCGCGTTAGAACATACAAACTTTATAAGTGAAGTATAAGATAGGACCAACCCGCATTAAGCAAGCGTGGTGATTAATGCTCAAACCTTCTCCGTGTGAGAAGAGGCCTTTCAGCAGTAGGCACTAAGTGAAACAAGTGAATTTATTTTTGCAAATAGGCTACAAGGCAGCACGTTTACACGACAATTTTATCAAGCGAACGATGAGGTCGACATTTCCTAACTGACTACTCTGAGAAGAAATGCCGAAACAAACTCAGAGGTCTGTCTCTTTTAAAGTCCAAACAACATGTATAACAGATTATATGTGAGAACCGTGCAAGTTCTTTCTGTAGTGGCCTTTTGAAGAAATAACCACAACAGCTTGAGCGGACCCGTTCTGAAGGCAGTACGCATGTGTCGGTTTACAGTCAGCTCAATTAACAGGTGAGGCTGACTGATTCGACGAACAATACCAACCCAAAGAACATTTGCGTAGGCCGCACAAATACTCAAACTGTTAGAATATGGGTAATTAGAAAAGAAATGGTGAGGCAAAGTCTCGCACGGTCTCACACTTATAGGCTAATGATAATAAGATAAGATGACGTTTGGCCACCATCTCACTCGCCTCGTGGCAAGCGGCGATACCGATAAGCAACCTATTTACTTGGGGCTTGAAGACACTCAAGTTGTATTTTTCAAGAATTTTTTATTTATAGTTAGTGCTCCTCTCGCCTGTGATACAGGATATTCTTTCTGGTACAGGCATTCAAACCTAGTGAGACCTCTGATTTTAAATTAAGATATCTCCCATTTTCTGTTGGTTCTAAACTTTCACGAATGGCTTTCATTTTAAACTCCTTGAATTCTCACTAGGTTGAAAACTCTAACCACTTCTAGAATTATATCCAACTTCTTTCAGTTGTGTACCGCTTAGTACAAAAGAAAAATGCTGGAACAAAGATTTTCTTTCGTATCTTGAAGTACGTACTTCAGAACCTAATAAAAGCACTTTGTTCATCTACAAAGTTCTGAGCAATGGCGCCGCGGCACCGCCCGTTTGTTCAATCCAGTTAATTTTCATTTAACTTATTTAAAAGTCTGTTATCAAACAGGCCATGTTTTATCTGTACTAGGTATAACCAGTACAGATACCACCTTGGGGTTAAAAAAACAGGTATAACCAATTCCTTTTATTATTATTTACATCTTAAAATATACTCACACAGTAATATGAAACAGGCCATGTTTTAACGCAACAATCAACACTATAGGCTTCAAATTTCGTTCTGGAAATGCAAGTATCGATTTAACATAACCTACTTCTAATTTCATACAGTTGAGTAATATAATAGCTATTTAAAATTTCAATAAAGACTAGGTGTTAAATTAAAATACCGCGTTAAAAAGTTACATGGCCATTTCAAATCAATTATAAAACGGATAATTAATTTTTCAGGGTCGCTCTTTACATACTTCTTTAGCTTACATCACATTCATACATCTGATGGTATACAGAAACTACAGAGCGCTACCTACTACGCTCCTTACATACTTCTAGCTTACATCACATTCATACATCTCACACAAGCACCCCGGTTGAGGAAACATACTTCTCTATAAAATGAAACAATCAAATTCAGATTAAATAAGTTTATTAAATAAATTATTAGCTTGCATAGTAAAATATCGTCTAAAAATGCTTCATCTATTCACATTATACAGAGCGCTACATACTACGCTCTATAAATACTTCACAATTATTTTCATACAATTTATTTATTTACAAAAGTTAATTCTATATTATACTAGCCATCTTCGCGCGGTTTCACCCGCTGCCATTAACCGCAGCGTGATATTTTATAGCCTTCGTCGATAAATTCAACACAAAATAATTTTTGAAATCGGACCCAGTACTTTCGTAATCAACGCGTTCAAACAAACGAACAAACAAAACAAGGTTTATATAATACAGTACATAAGACAAGTTCTCAGGCTATTACTGAAAATTTGCGATAATAGAAAACTTCATTAAAATATTTTTGTATTACTACATGTGATTAGAAAGTTAAGGGTAAAAAATAATTAAGGCATTGGCTGCCAATAAAAAACTATTGAAGGCAAATCCTCCGCTAATGTCGGTCACCAGTGACTGCCATGGCGTTTAACGTGTTAAATAAATACTACCTAGCAGTTCAGTAATTTGGTAGTTCTGCTTGGAATGTTTTGGAGTTTTGGAAATCAGCAATTTTGTAGATTTTGATGTGCTCTTTTTTTATACGTGCCGTAGCCGCTCGCGCCGCCATCTTGAAGAAATGACGTCCATAAACAGATTTTTACAATATATCTTTTCCCTGTGCATTTTACGCGAAACCCGTGAACAACAAAATTAAACTACTTACAATTATCTACAATTGGATAGTTGCCAGGGTAAGAAAATTAAAAATCTAATTAGTCCGTCAGTTGGATAATTAAAAAAAATATTAGACACGTATTGTTTTATTTTCTTGTATAAAGCTACAATACTTAGATAAAACGTTAAGTTTAGGAGTGGGAAGTCATTACGTCAAAACGTGCAGTAAAATGTAGCACGCTGTGACGTCACATGATATTTTATATAAATATTATTGTCGAAAGTATTGAATTTTGTGAGAAAAGAAAAAATACGTGTCTAATGTTTAAAATTAATCTACCAGACGGACATTAAAATAAAATTTAAGAAACTACCGTATTGATGTCCAGACAGCCTTTTCGTAACTTAGAAGTACTTTGGTCGCCAGAGCACCACCAAATACATTACTAAGAGCATTGGAAAAAAAATGTCACACCACGTGAAAGCAGAGCAAGCGACGCGTTTGTGTGGTGTCATAAACATCTACAAAACTGCCAATAGGGTACTTTCCTAAATTTTATTTTAATGTCCGTCTGGTACGTTTATTTAAACACGACACGTATTTTTTCTTTTCTCACAAAATTCAATACTTTCGACGATATATTCATTTGAAACATCGTGTGACGTCACAGCGTGTCACATTTTGTAGCACGTTATGACGTAACGACCTCCCACTCCTAAACTTAGCGCCATTTTATCTAAGTATTGCAACTTAATACGAGAAAATAAAAAAATACGTGTCTAATATTTTTTAACTGACGGACTAATTAGATTTTTAATTATGATACCCTGGAAACTACCCAATTTCCAAAACTCCCGGAAAGCTTTCCAAGTGACCCCATATTTCCCTCCTTAATGATCGGACTATAGTAGCTACCACAGTAGGACATAGCTACTAGATTTTTATCAAAACCTAAAATTACTGTCCAACATTTTTTTTAGTTTAGAATATCTTTATTTCTCATAAAGAATCACATACATTTACTGAGAAACAATATTTCATACAAAAGTAAACAGTTTAGAGCGCACAGTAGTACGTACATATAAACAAAAATAATACAAAAGAACAAATACAAAGGAGAAGGGAATGGCTCCATAGATCCTGGGCCCAGGTGTTAACTAAATGTTAATTTCAAGGACGAAAGCATTCTTTAATCAGGCACTTGCCACTTAGCATCATGTGTGTCGGAATGTTGCTCATTTCAGTGCCTTTAGCCAAACGCCACTTTACCGCTAGTCTACAGAGAGAGTATAAAACTAAATGTATGGGGATAACATTGACAAGTGTCAAAATTTACGTCAATTCCATATAATTTTGTTTTCTATTCTACATGTAGACAAGCGCTAAATGGCATTTGGCTACAACTGCGGGCAAGTATGCGAATCGACAGACGTCCGATCTTTGAACATTTTTTACCATGCTCAACACGGTAGTTGACAGGTAATCAAATTTAATACTTTTATTGAAATGTCAAAAACGATACTTTTCTATGATTTTTGTATTGGATCGCAACTTATGACGTCATCATATTTCTGCGTCAAATAGCATACTTATTTCTTAAAAATTAGCGAGAAAAAATCCAAAAGTAGGTCAATTATCAAACCAATGGATGAGAGTATGATTATTTCATAATTATTTATTGCATTGAAACGTTGAAATGATTTATTTTACGCCTAGCAAACTAGCCAATAGAACGCCTTTGTGTAAATCAAAATCAAATACTAAGTCTACTCAATTTTAAGTTCTATTTGAACATCATGCCATCTCTGTCATTTTACGAATAATTTCAGAACTACTTAACTCGTCGAGTACCGGTTTTGTAGACACAATTATAGAACAATAGGTTGCGGTCACCGGTGTCCGCTTGGTGTTTGACAGTTTAAGGCCGATTTAAAATTGAGTAACATTTTAATATTTGGGCATTAAGTGTCGTGGTGGCACGGAGGTTTAAGACGCCCGCTTCTGATCTTCTTCTGCATGAGGGTGCGAGTTCGAAACCTACCAACGGCAAGTACCAAAGCGACTTTTTCCTAGTTATATGTACTTTCTAACATTATCTAGACACCACTGACAAACGGTGAAGGAAAAACATCGTGAGGAAGCTTATAATTTCTAATTATAAATAACTAACCCCTTGCTTGTACTGTTAAGTGTCACTTGGTACAAATTCAAACGTCGTTAAATATCACCTATCTTAGCTTAGGAGTTCCTTAAAATTTAGAAGCGGTTGGCGAAAACAGGCATCACTTATATCGAACCTAAGATAAAATTTAACTGACTGCCTACTCGACCAGCGAGGCTGTGTAATATTGTACTGTGTTTACTAGCTACTCCCGCGGTTTTACCCGCGCTGCTCGACTCCTAATGATCGTAGCGTGCTGTTTTATAACTCATAACCTGCCTTGATAAATGGACTATCAAACACAAAAAGAATTATTAAAATCAAACCAGTAGTTCCGGAGATTAGCGCGTTCAAACAAACAGACAAACAAACAAACAAACACTTCAGCTTTATCATAATAGTATAAGGCTAGATACTAATGGCGCGATCTTCTCCCGCGCCCGCCGCGGTCGCTAATTGAGGCGGAATTTTCTAAACTCACGACACCGCAGTTTTCTGCGATCCTGAAGTCGCTGCGGTTGCGATTATCACCCGCACACTTGGCTGTTGATTATGACAAGACGAGCATGCGGTTAAACAATGAGTCGAGTTCCAGACCGGTACTCCCGTCGCGATCGCCCGCCAACCGACCGCAGAGCGCGCGATTGCTAGCCGCCCGCGTGCAGCAGGAGCCGCAAACAATCGCAACCGCCGCGGGGGTAAGATGCGCCGCGAACATTGCTTTTATTACATACATATCTGTATTCTATCTGTGTTCTATACATTACACATAGACCTGGTAAATTATATAATACAAAGTAAATCATTATCATATGTCAAAGCTACCAATTGATACCAAGACACATTACACTAGGTCTAAATCGTTAAAACTAAAGGACAGGGGACCAGTAAAAAGATAGAAGACAAGATGCCTAGAACTGGAGAAAGTGGTACTTACTCTAATACTGCTGGATCATCTGCAGCACCGCCGGGACTCCCTCCGAAAGCCACTGGAACGGCTGAGGACTGGAGCATCCTCAAAGATTACTTGAAAGTTGCATCGGAGACTAGGGACTCTATTGCAAATGACCAGCTGTCCTTAGTAAACCCCTCTGACAGGGAGATGGTCAAGGCTGCAGTTATCGGGAGGGTATCCAAGTCCAATTTCGAAGCCACTCAAGCACTCATCAAACTCATGGCTTATGAGGGCTTTAATCCTGTTACTATAATAACAGAACTAGCAGCCAGGGCAGAAAGATGGAACAAGGCGGAGAGACCCAACTATTGGGCATTGTCCCTTGATGGTTTAGACTTCAACCTTAGCGAAAAGGCAGAGCTAGCAAATGACGTTTTGTTCATTTGCACATTATTCCTCACCAGGGGTAATAACCTGAGAAAGATTCTTGCTAGTATTGATAGAGCGGTCAAGACTCCTCTCTTAAGCAAGATCCAAGCCTACGGAATCAAGAGCGACTCTGAAGAAGAACTAGCTAAAAGGAAGAGAAGCGAGAAAATAGATTTATCATCCAAAGATGTGACATTGAGCAGAATTGCTGCTTCCTTCCCTCACATAGCGTTAGCTGTTGTCAGAAAGACTGGGGTGAGAAGAAAAGTTGACCTAGTTTGCATGAACTTGCAGTATAAGATTGACTACGGCACGTTGAACGAAATCCCGGCAATATTAACACACGGTCTAATACCGTCACTGATTCCAAAGGGAGAAAGCCTCGAGGGCAGTAATCTCGAGAAGATTCTCCTACTTTTTCAACATAGAGCAATCAGTAACATTGCAGATGCCAAGTGCGAAGAAAAACATAGTGAATGAACCAATGAGTAAAACATTAGAGGCAGCCGAGAAGTTTGTGAACGCTGCCATCAACGGGCCCCTGAACAGTGATGAGCAGAGAAAGACACTACTAAACCACTTCAACCTGTACGAGACCTGTCTCGCCCTTTCAGACTCCCGGTCACGGCATATGTTGAGCCTGGAGAGGGAGAGGTCACGTCATGCTAGGGAAATTGTTGCCATCCAAAGGGCCCATAGCAAAAAAATTGCTGAGGTAACCAAAGAACTAACCTCAGAAGTAGCATCGGCACGAAACGATTTAACGGCGAACCTCGAGCAGACAAAGGCCAGTTCGTTCTTGGCTAGGCTACGAGACGTTGGAACCGTACAAGAGGATAGAAAACATACTCAAATCCACTTCAGAAATAAAAGCGACCGTTGCTAAGTGGAACCTCTCTCGAGACTTGCCTACTAAAACTCTGACAGAAGCAGAACTCCAGCCTCTGAAAGAACAGCAGACCAGGTTGCTTCAAACAATACAGACATTGTCTCAGCAACTGGATGAACTGCGCAGAGGTCAACAAAAAACACTAGAAAACACGACCACTCTCCAAACAATGAGTCAGGAGATACAGGTT